TGAATAGGGTTGATAGAGAATTGATGCCTTTGAGCTGTGGTGCTGGAGAAGAGTGTTGAATATACCACGGACTCCTAGAAAAACAAACAGGTTTGCCCTGGAAAAGGTGAAGCTGGAATGCTCCTTGGAGTGAAGAATTCTGAAGCTTTGCCTGACATACTTTGGGCATGCTGCAAGGAGGGACTGGTCCTTGGAGAGGGACATCATGTTTGGCAGAGTGGAGGGGCGGCAAAGGAAAGGAAGACCTTCGGTGAGATGGATCAATTCTGTGACTGGAGCGGTGGGAATAAGTGTGTTTGAGATGACTAGTTGGCACAGGATAGAGCAAGGTTTAGAGCTCTTGTAAATAGGGTTGCTATGAGATGGCACATAACAACAACAATATTGTATAAGAAACATCATGAAAATGCGACAATGAATGAATGGAAATCCAAGTTCTCTATAATTTTTCATTAAAATCTCAATAAAAATAGAAAAGTATATCATAGCAGTCATTTGTAAAATAGATGTAAAATGTAATTTTAATTTTGTAAGGAGTTTGTGTATGCTGCATAAAGACTGAAATATTATTTATTAAAATGGTAACAAAGTATAAAATATAAATTGTAAGAAAAATCAGATCTTAAACTGAGTATTCATGTCCAGTATGTGTACCTCTTTTTCATCTCAGTAAAGTTTCACAATGCCACTTAAAATTATTCTGATGGCTTTCTGTTTGGATATAGGAATTATCTTCTAGTCTTCAGCAAAAACTATGTTCTTTTCAAGAGGCAATGATTAGAGAGAGAAATCTCTTTGAAGAAGAATTAAAACAAGCACTGGATGAGTTAGATAAATTACAGCAAAAAGAAGAACAAGCTGAAAGGCTAGTTAAGCAGCTGGAAGAAGAAACAAAGTCTAAAGCAGAAGAACTCACATTCCTGCAAGAAAAGCTAAAAAGGTTGGTATTACTAGAATTCGGTGTTGTATGACTTCAAGTGCTACAAAGTATTCTCAACGCCATTCTCTCAAAATTTTCATGTTGATCATGAGAGTAAATGAGGTTGCAATTATTTTACAAGTAAGGAATAAGCTCAGAGAAATAAATACCTGGGATTAGGACAAATAGGAGAGCTAAAGTTAGACGCTTCATTCACTCTTTTTCTTAACTCACAAGAACTTTAACACATGACAACCTCCTTTTATATTTTCTAAAAATTGTCAGACAACCCAGCAGTAATGAATTTAAATAAAAGTGGGGAAATCCCACAAAACTAAGTCACGTACCCTTAAAAAGAAAATATCAGTGCTTCCATGTTTTAGGTCTGTTTGAATGTCTCTGTTAACAAGTTATATCTTCAGATTCTCAATCCTCTAAAGTGATCTAATGGACCATGATTCATAGTTTCAAATATAGTGCCTTAGGAGATTTTTATCCTTCTAAAATGTCATTCACCATCAATATACATTCCAATTTCTTTCTGTAAAAAACCTCTCCTGAGCCCCACAGCCTAAAATCTCCCTGGCTCCTTGATATATACAAGTAGCTAGTGCGCTAGCCTTTCTATCAGTTTGTTCACAGTAATTCTTTTTTTTT